CTATTGATGAGCCAGACTGATTCAAAGCATTAATGTCAAAGCCTGACAAGATACCAAGATGACTACAGTCAAAGACAGTAAAAAACTCAAATGAATATGTCCTAGCATAACAGACAAAAGACCTCTGGTTCAATAACACTGAAAAATAGTTTTAAGGTGGCTCAGAAGGGAATGTGGGAATTAATAGGACCTAATCATACAGCTATAAAACCGATGAGTGATTCCTTAAGCATTACTAGTTTGATACCAGTGACTGTGAGAAGCTCAGATGGGAGTCTCTATTTTGGATTTGAATACAAATGCTAAACTGATACATGTGCCAACAGTGCAATGTGGCATATCACCAACAAGTGTAGAAAATAGCAATAGCAAATAGCAACAAACTTGGAAATGTAAAATGTGCACCAGAAAATTAAGTAGAAGAAAAAAAAAAGAAAGAAAATGACAGTTGTTTGCAGAATATAGGCAAAGAAATAAACACCTTCATGCTAATACTGCCTAGACATTATTTGTAAAAAAAAAAAAAAAAAAAAAAAAATCCCGCCTAGAAATTTTTTTAAAAAAAAAAAAAAAAAAAAAAAAAAAAAAAAAAAAACCCCATGTTTTTACTTTAACAAAACATTATAATATGGATTTAGTACAGGAAACCAGTTAACTCTAACATAGTTTGCTTCTCATTTCAATGGTTAGATCTATGGTTTAATCTGTGGTTACTATGGTCTTGCTCTAATGCCACAGTTCCTATAAAAGAAGAGAGTTTCATAAAGGAATCACACACCAGACTCGGAAACCATGATTCCACTTCAATAACCAACAGCTACAAATGACCAAACATGAAGCCACATGGTGCAAATCCCTAGCCACAGTAATGCTGGTAAGGCTTCATAAGAACAAGCTGATAGGGGCAATGTGACCTAAGCTTTATGGTAATCGGAGCATTAAGTGGCCTCCTTTTTACTCCTAGAGAACACACAGCCCTTTTCAAAGGTCTGGCTCTGACAAGGGGGCCCCTAACCCTGTGAGGGGAGCAGAAACTCTCCCTGCCAAATTAGCAACTGCACCACATGGACAGCCATGGGGACCTTTGACATTGGTGCTGTCCTCAGATGGTAAGCACGTTAGCATTATCCTGCACTACCAAGAAGACTTATTCAATGCCCTTACGAAAATTTGCCAGGGTGTCTGTCTAAATATCAGTTACCACAACAAAACGGTAGTAATTTGGCATTGCCAAGCACTCTGATAAGAAAATAAACACTGACAGAAACATTCTGACAGCTTATGTTGTTTGAATCATATTTCTAATGAATTTACTACCATTTCACAGTACTACCAACGTAATTACTGACATCTTGCTGCAAACTATTATCAGTTTTAATAAACATACAATTACTCTCAATTGATATAAACCTCTCATACTCTTCCTTGGAAAAACACAAGCCTTGAACATATAGAAGAAACGTGAACAGCATTTTTGTTATAAAGTAAAATTGTTTTGAGGAATCCGTTTTTTTTTATTCAAGGGCAAAATGACCGAGCATCGAGCATACAGTGAATCAGAGCATCTCTTCGCGCGATATTTCCAATTTAAACACCACAGCGGTTGTTTCGTTATCGTTTTTCGCCAAGGCTGTAGCATAACAATACAATCTCAAAAACTAGTGAGGTGCCTTCATAGACAACATTTCTGAGCATCAAAACGACGTGACGGGACAGCAAATATATACACAACACACCGTTCAAGCGCCAAACTCCGGCGTTAACTAAACGCAACGGGCAAATTGGTCACATTGGCGTAAATGTGACTGTTAAATACGACTGGAATCAGATAAGAAAGGAAACTGATCTCGCATCTGTTTAGAAAATGAGCCAATGTTGATGTTTGGGGAAGGGGGGTTGGGAAGTAAACACTTGCACACGCAAAGTCATCCAAACAGAACAGAAAACACGTTATTAAATAAACCTGCGAGCGCCAGGTGATTTCAATAATTCTGCGCTTCTTCTGTCAGAAACAAAATAGCACAAAAGATAATGCTACAATGACGCATTGTCACCATATACCAAAATTATCACACCCCGCCCACTTAAATATTATAACAGTTTTTTTTTTTAATGTCTCACCTTACCTTTATTTCGCACATGGAGCAACTGCAGTCTGCTGTTCAAATGTGATGCATGAGCTGCATGGTGAAGGAGGATGTTGTCGATGCCCGTACTGACACAGATCCGATCCTATTCAGTCGCAATCAGACACTCACTCTTGCAGTGAGCTGCAATGGCGAGCCCCACTTTCTAGTTGAGAAATTCACCTCTCAACATGCAGTGGAATTTGTCCAGAGAGGGGGGAAAAAACTCGGAAATACCAGTGCAAACAGTGAAAAGGACATTAAACGACAGTTTTGCACGTCAGCAAGCAAGCTTAGGGTTGATCAGCTGTAACATTTCGGCGAATCTCAGGAGCACCTACACACGCGCGCGCACACCCACACAGACACGCGCGCGCGCACACTAGGCAGCTTGAGCTTTTGTATGCGTTTGGATGTATATAAAGTGCGTAAAGGGAATATCTCAGCATGCCTTTAGTTCGCTAATATGTATGTACACGAGTCCACGCGAGTTAAATGTCCCGATGCTCAGAAGGTAGGGAAATTCCAATGCATCCATTTAAAAGGATACTGCTCTGACGTGAAGCGTCTGGGTTTTCGTTTGTGGCGCTCCAGCAGCCATTTTGTTGAAACTGACAACAGCGTCTCAATGGAGTAAAACAGGAAGTGCCCCCATTCCCCATCGGCACGTCACGTGACTTCAACTAACAAACAATCCAACCCCTCTGTTAAAATATCGCTCCACCTTTGTTGTTGCTATGACAACGAAGGTCGAGGAACTACCTCCTCCCTCCCCCAACAACACACACACACTGACATACACCCAGACATCCCTTGTGTAGCTCTATTAATCATTAATCGGGCTTTCTCAGCAAGACTTTAAAATATTTAAAACACAGAGAGCTCTTGAATCCATTTTAGTTACTTGGTTTACATCCCGCCTCAAGTATGTTTTTGTTTTGGACATATTTCCACCGGCAGGGGGCGCACTTTCAACACGCCACTAGACGTCGCTTGAAAATCTCTTAATTATGACTTAACTTATTGACTGAAAATTAAAAACAAATGAATAGACAATCATTTAGTGCATTCCCAATTTATTTATCCCTCGCTGACATAGGAAGTAAGCGGCATAGACTTGCAGCTTTGTTCTGTCATTCCTGGTTTATTGGGCTGCTAGAACACTCTCTGGACTCAGACACAACTGACATGAGTTATCCTCTCTATGGCTGGCCAGCTCCATGTTAAGTGCACAGCCAGAAGAAAACATGCGTTTATTTGCATTGCAAGCACATTTTTTCTCTTACAGAACAAACATCAAAACCAAAACTAAAATGGTGTGCACCATTGTTATTTGCAGTTTGATCATTGTTACATATAAAATACACATAAAATGCACAAAATATTGTGCAAACGATTGTAGGTGCATCATATCGCATACAAGAGACAAAATTTCACATCCAGGCACTCACACAGATTTTATTATTTAAACAGCCTTTATTTGCAGAGCTAATTAAGAAACACCACTCTACAATACACTTTTTTGTGTAGCCTATTTATGCACCACTTTATTAATTATATTAACAAGTAGGTGAGAACATGGACTATTTTAACATTTTATCTGCAACTCAGTTGTCTTTACATCTCAGAAAGACTGACATAATGTACTTAGAAATATTTTCCCCCCAAAACTTTTGTAACAATTCCCATTTTTGTACACACAATATGTAATTGCTTTTTTCCCCATAAATCCTTATGTTTTCCATAAATCCTTATGTTTTACACAAATGTGTTAACTTTCCCCAACACTGGTCTTCTCAATTCATTTTTCTTTGAGATAAAGAAAGGTTCCTTAAAGAAGCTGTTCATAGAGCTGTATGTTTCCACAATTTGGGACACATCACTAAGTGTTACCATGCATGATTTTCATAGTGCAATTATTCAGTCATACTGAAATATGGGTTTAAAAGATTTTTGACATGCAAGTATGGTCTCCACCCAAATTTCTGAGGGCATTTTTAACATTGCAACACGGATCCCCCTCTGTCCTGCTCCTGCTTACAGCTTTATCACAGCATGGACTGAGGAAGACAAATGTGATCAGAGAGCTGGCCAAACATTTCGCTGAGCAATGAGCCAAAACCCGACCTCACTAAAGACTCATTTCTCTCGCTCTCATTAGCATTCATCCACCCAGTGACAACCAGTGCGCTTCTGTTGGCCAGATGAATATGAGGGGATGGCTGAGTCACTTTAGGTAGTTAAAAGACAAGGGCTTGCCAATAAAGACATGCTGACAGACCTTCAAGGGGCCAATTAAATAACAATCCACCCTAATGTCATCTGCATATGGATTACAGCTGAGATATGTAATGTGGTGGCAGTGGAGAAACGTGATTACTGAGTGCATTTAATGATGAAGTATGTATAGAGGCATAAAAGCTCAGCTTGGCAGGGAGGGCTGATCACAGATCATGGCAATTAATCTTGCTTGTTGTGATAATTCAGGTCGATTATTCTCCACATCACCTCTTCAGCATAGAAGCAGCATCACAGAGTTGCAAAAGGGGCAACCCAGACTCATCCAGACAATGAAAAGTGTATCAAGTCTCGTGTTTGGGAGCAACTTAAGACAATAACATAATTACCTTTAGGGTGTGCATGTATATATGGGAATGTGTGTTGATTTACAGCGACATGGGTGCAGGTTGCCACAATTATGGGCAAGGCATTTCTGGGCTGGATTAATTTCCCTTGAGACCTTTGTAATGGATAAGGGCAGGAGATGGAGCCGGACCAGGCATGTTTTAGGCAACATCACAAATCACAATGTCCAAGTAAAATGTTGAAATTTGGGCATTCTCTGACACAACTGTCACATTCAAAGAAGAATATTGGTAAATCATGTCCAAAGAAACCAGATAAATTATACAAAACAATAGTGACAATTCATATATTAATTAACCATAAACAGGTCAACATGCAGTCTGCATGGAATCTGTGTTATTTGAGTATTATTTATTCTGTTGTAGCATTTATTAATATTTAGAATGATCTTTTAGCTAATAATTATCGTTTACCGCTTTTTATATTTTTAGTTTTCATTTTAATTTCAGTTTAAGTTTTAGTATTAAATTTTTATGTGCTTTTAAATATTACATATTATATAAATATAATATTTCAATATGATATTTTAAATATTTCTATTTCGCTAAAATTTTTCATTTCAGTTTTAGTTTTAGTAATTTTCAGTACTTCAGACTTGTTTTATTTCAATTAGTTGCCAATGCAACATTTCTAATTTTCATTTTTTAAAGTTTATCTAATATTTAGATTTTATTTGATTTCATATTTTAATTAATGAAAATTATTTGTAAAAATTTTAGAGGATAGGTTCTACGCATTCCCTATAGATCCTGTGTGTTTATTTTTTGATCATTAAATTTGCTATCCAATAAATGTTTAGTACTTTCAGCTCTGTTTAGCATATTTTAATTACACAGATAAAATACAAATTATACATAAAAGGTACAGATAGTCCTCCTAAATCACCACAGAAAGAGTAAAAAAAAAAAACCTTTTAAAGGCCACAACCTCTAAATGTTCAGCTAACAAATTATCCATCTCAGTTCTTCAGTTCATATGTTCATGTTTATTTTAGCTACACCAGCACTTGTTGGCTTTACTTATGTTATAATCACACACGCTAGTTGAACAAGCATTAGACCTTTGTGCTCTCCATGGCATTAGGGGAGCAGTGTAGACAGGTTAATCAGATTTACAGCACACAACCATAATTGGCTGCCTTTATAGATTCAAATGGGCAATTAACTAAAAGCAGTCTGTGTTGCACTTCATTGAAAACCTGTGAATGTGCTGCTATAATAGTTTTGAGAAGACCATAGAGGCAATCGGAGCTTCCTCTAAATCCTCTGAGCGGAGCCTGCAAAGACTTACCCAGTGCTTTTTGGAATACTTAATTCTGATTGGTCTATCGTGACATTCGGCAATCTCATATTTCCTTAAATTCACCATGACAATGGCAGTCCTATATTAGACCAGTCATTGTAGTAACTGAAACCGGTGCTACTTTCATGTCTCTTGTATAAAACCACAATCTGCTTGTCTCATTTTATACATCCCATCAGTTATCAGTTGTAATAAAATGATCTCAGAGGACTTATTACTGTAATATTGTTGCAGTGTTTGTTTTATTTCTCGGCTGATTATTTTATATATTGTAATGGACTTTTTTCCTTAGCCAAAGCTTTAAGATCATATTAGGGCTGGTAAGAAATAATTTTTTTTTATCTAATTACATAGAGGCAATCGGAGCTTCCTCTAAATCCTCTGAGCGGAGCCTGCAAAGACTTACCCAGTGCTTTTTGGAATACTTAATTCTGATTGGTCTATCGTGACATTCGGCAATCTCATATTTCCTTAAATTCACCATGACAATGGCAGTCCTATATTAGACCAGTCATTGTAGTAACTGAAACCGGTGCTACTTTCATGTCTCTTGTATAAAACCACAATCTTCTTGTCTCATTTTATACATCCCATCAGTTATCAGTTGTAATAAAATGATCTCAGAGGACTTATTACTGTAATATTGTTGCAGTGTTTGTTTTATTTCTCGGTTGATTATTTTATATATTGTAATGGACTTTTTTCCTTAGCCAAAGCTTTAAGATCATATTAGGGCTGGTAAGCAATAATTTTTTTTTATCTAATTAATTACATGATGTGGCAAATTAATTGCACATCAAATTTGGCTGTGAAATTACTCCCAAATGATCATTTAAAGTCATTGTTGTGTAAAGCATCAAACAGACATTACAAAAAGTAGCTTCAGCAAGAAATATTTTGTTTGATAAAAGTTATTACATATACTCTTTTGGACCATGAGGGTGAGTAAATGATGACACAGTTGTCATTTTTGGGTGGGTGAACTATACCTTTAATAATTTATTTGATTCATTTTTATTATTATTACTATAGAAATACGAAATTATCTCTTTAATGAAATTATACTCTAAATAATAAACTACAAATGCCAGTAGGTGTTAAATGTCTTAATGATTAAGTCATCGAGTCATTCATTCATTCATTTGATTCGTTCAAATGGCTGATTCATTCAGGACAGGAGTGAAGTAAATGTTTTTTTATGAATGGTCCATTGAATCATTAGGCTTGTTCGACTTGAAGCGGATCATCACCATTAGACCGATCGGTGTGGACATCAAAGTACCGCAAGAGCTATAAGAGCAGAAGGCTCTTTATGCTTTTGAGCCGCTCTCGCGGTACCTTGATGTCATACACCGATCAGTCTGTGCAGCACCGCTTCAAATCCAACGCGCCTATGGCCAGTGGTTCAACGCGCCAAATGGTTCACCCAATTCGTTCAAAACGTGCATAAAGAAATGAAATGCCGCTGTGTCTTGCTCGGAGACGAACAGTTCTGATTTGTCTTTATATTTTCGTTGGCAAAATTGAGCAAACCAGACAACATTGCGTCTAAAATAACACAATATTAACTTCTTACTTACTGAACTGTTGTATAAGATCAGTATCACATTTGCACTCGTGTGATATTGCACTTATTGCTCGTGTGATATTGCTTAACTATATGATGTAA